TTATCAGCTCAGGTAACATGAAGCCAGGGATTGTGGCCCTAAATCTGGAGTTAGAGGACTGGCAGTCCTCTAACTCCAGATTTAGGGCCACACTGATAGAGGAAACTGAATGAAATGTGGATGGGTCAAATTGGCAGATGCCTGATTAACTTAATAAAGGAATTAAATTAGTGCAGCCTTATACAAATATACAGCACTGTAAACTAACCAGGCAAATCAGACAACTACCCCTAAGCCCCCAAACTGCTGGGGGCCCCAAAACCCCAGGCTTCAATTTTAATTGATTTCATGTAATTTGATTAATTACAAATTTTACTATGAAGTTCACTGTTATCCATCATTTCTGTTTATACTGTCCTCACATTGTGCATATTTCTACATAAAAGGTGAGTCAATAGGGGCCAGATTTTCCCCTCTAATTGTTTTATCCCTCACATTGAACAGAATAGTTTCTCTTGGTGAGAGATGGATTCACAATAATGAGAGTGTTCTTTCCTTTTAAATCTTGAAGCACTACTTTAGTTTTTTGGAAGACCTGGTTATTTTGATTGCTTACATAATAATTCTTGAGAGCTTTCCTTTTTCCACTGATGCATTTTCATTTGATAACTAATATCAGCAAATATTAGACAATATAGGACACCAGTTTTTTTCTGCAGTTCACATGGCACTCCTCACATGTTTTTCTGCCAAGAGTCGAGCAAAAACAGTCTTAAAGCAAATCATCTTTAATCATTAACTGAATAAACTTATGTGGCTTTCTTTATCTTCTTGTAATGGCCAGTTATCAGATTAATGACATCGAGTCAGTACGTGGTACGTGCTTCAGAGGAACCTAAAGCAGTAAATGAAATAATAAAATAACAGTTCAATGTGACTGCGGTGCATTACGTGTGAGTTAAGTCATCAGATCCCGCCCCTGTTCGAATTAGGCGACAGATACAAGTATACAGACCTGTTATGTGAGGTACAGTTAAACAGCATATACCTGATTTGAAAAAAAAAAAAAAAGAGCACCCTTAATTTTGAATTTGTTAAAAAAAATTCTCTCAACTTGACTTTTATTATTCTGTTTATCTACTTTTCCTTTTTTCCTTCTTTAACCTAACTTACTTTGAACATTTATTTACAACCAACTTTGTACTTACTCCATTCTGTTGTTATGTTTGGAAAAATACTTAACAATATTTCATAATTTATAGCTATTATCTTTAATGCAGAAACAATGATCATTGTTCCTGTTGTTTACAAAAAAGGGGAATAGCACTTGTAATTATGTGTTGTTATCATCTGTCTATCCCTAATAAAAAAGATTAAAAATATAGAGAAAAAGACAAGAAAAACACAACACCTTAATCGATGCAGCCATTATTGTATGAAGGTTATAAACAGCAGATAGCTGAGCAGCTATTTTGTTCTCTTAAGGCCACAGTTTAATTTCCACATCCCATCTTCTGTTCAGACAAAAATCACTGTTATCATTACGTCTCAGTCCCAAAACATCAGCCAGTAAAAGTGTTTTTCCATTTTGTTTTCATTGCCATTTATTTGGTACACACACTCCTAATACTGAACGACTCATTTCCTGCCGGCCTGGGACTAAATCCAACTGGATGTGTCTCTCTTTCCGCTCTCCCTGTCAGCCTCATGTTCCTTTATTTCCAATTAATTAAAACAGAGCGGTAAGTGGGCTGTTGTTAGAGTGTGAGATGATAAACTGACAATGATGACACAAATACAGAGGAAATCACAATGTTGCTAAATTGTCAGTGCAGTCAAATTTGAGACTAAATTCAGGACTACTGCCATTACCTGCTTTCCCCGAGTTAAGATCTTGGTGTTGATAAAATCATTGCCCACATTAAAACTACTCAGCCATTAACAGAACGGCAATGATTCCATGTTCAGACTGTATAAATAGGTTTTACAACAACTAGTCATGCTCATTTCATCTTCATCTATGTCGGCACACTTCACTGACCCGATTTTACACACCGATCAACCCCAACATGAAAACCACTGACAAATGAAGTGAAAATCATTGATAGTCTCGTTACAATGCAGTGTTCTTAAGGCATGACCTGGCATCTAAATTCCCTAGATTTAGATCCCCTCTGATCAAGCATCTGTAGGATGTGCCGGTACCCCAGAGCAGGGGCGTCGAAGAGGGGAAAAGAGGGACTGATTACTCTGGGATCCAATGGGAGGGGGGTCCTCCAAAAGCCTGGAATAAAAGCTTGGTTTTGTTTGCATTTTTTTACCAGTGCCATAACCACATTACAATTTGCTGAATCAGTCTGTTAACGCTTTGAAACCTGAGCAAACTGGCTTGATTTCCTATAAAAACATGGAAAGAAGGCAATGTGTAATGAAAGAAGAAATCACCCCAAAAATAGCAAAAAAAAGTAAAGAGAGAAAATTAAAAACAAGAAAATTAGTATTAAAAGAAAGAAAGAAAGAAAGAAAAAAAGAAAGGTAAAAACAAACAAACAAGGAAATTACCTGGAAAGAGTGATTAAAAATTAAAATAATTCAGTAACAATTTAAATGTAATAGTAATTATAATTTTTTCCCCTAGCGTTTGCTCTAATTTTTAAAAATAATTTTCAACATCTATTTTTTTGGGACAGTTCTTACCAAGTTGCTCACCATGTTGCTCTAGGTTTTAAAAAGTTAAAAGACTGTACTTTGTATGAAAAAGCAGTGGAGGCTCTCAAGGCCCCTCTCACTAGGTCCCTGCACAAGGATTCATCTCTAAATGCAGCTAAAGCTGAGTGACTGCTTATGTTGCCGGAGCACGAACATACACTGCCATGTCTTTCCCCAGGGAAGGGAAATCAGGGTTACAGAAAAAGGGAAAAGAAAGAAAAAAATCAAAAGTTGCTTAAGCGAAACATGGATCAAGAGAGGAAGGATGGGGGGGTCAGAGAGAATGCTTGAGCAGTGGGCCCTGAATTTGCCTCAGATGTCTTGTGTCCATGCCTTGACAGGGCAGAGCCAAGTCTGATCCACAGTAGGGCCTCTGACCTGTCGAGACATAGACATATGACCTCTGAGGGTGTCCTGGGGCGTCTGGACACAGGGCCTTGGTGGGGGATACTTCAAGTCCTGTGGGTTGCGAGTTGGGGTACCAGTACATCCCAGGTATACACAATCATATTAAGATCTGGGGAATCTGGAGCCACGGTCGATGCCTTAAGCTCTGTGTCATGTTCCTTGGGCCATTCCTGACAGGTTTTTGCAGTGTGGCATGGTGCACTGTCCTGCAGGTGGCACAGCTAGGGAGTGCCGTCACCATGAGGGGGTGTACTTGGTCTGCTATGGTATTTTAGAGAATGAAGCATGTCACATGAATGTCAGGATCCAGTGTTTCCCAGCAGAACATTGCACTGTGACGAGATGATCAGTGTTATTCACTTCACTTTAATGTTGTGGCTGATCGGTGTATATGTAGTTCAACTGAATACAGTACGACAAGATATCCAATGCTCAAATTGATGGACTTTAATGTTTTTTTATGAATATACACTCAATTTGAATTTAATGCCTCTAACGCGTTAAAAGAAGTTGAGACAAGGGCTTGTTTACAACAAGATTTAAAGACTGTTGGTGTGGAAGAATGGGCCCAAAATCCCATCTGAACCCTGTGAGAGGTTAGTGTCTTCATACAAGCATTGCAGACAAAGACTTCTCCAAGTCTTAATTAAATTTAGTTAGCATGGTCAACAATTTTTTCTTGTGCTATTCCATGTTATTGCACTTAATTTTTATGGGTTGAAATGTTACATCACCTCCTACAAGAACTTAAAGACAGCATCAAACAAATAAATAGGCTACAGACAAATAGCAAGTTTACAGGAACAAAAGAGATATAATTAACCGGGAACACACTGCATTGTAAGATTGTGCCAAGACTGTTTCTTGTCAGAGCAGCGTCTTTGGTCCAAAAGAGCAGAATATTTTTCCTGGCAGCAAAAGTCAAAAGATTGAAGAGTCTCTTGTGTTTGATATTTGTAATGGGACCATCTGGGAGACTGAATGAGAGGCACATAGGGTCTAATTCTATTTGAGCACCAAATATAACACACAGTTCATTCACAATATTAGACCAATAGCTCTGTAGCTGCCAGACTTAGAGTTACACTTGCAGCAGAGAGGAGACGTATTAGCATCCATTTTGTTTTTGAGAGCAGGTGTGCAATGTACAGTTCTGAACTGAGTAGATTTGGTTGGATTACAGATAGATATTTCCAGAGCATGGATCCACACTTCCTGCCACTCCAGGTCATCAGTAGAGATCTGTCTTTCCTAGGCTTGCTTTGTAGCTTGGTAAGTAATAGTATCTATCTATGTAAGAACACTAATGTGTAGACGAAAAGTAAGTTCTAAAAAAACAACTGTACATTTACTCTTACACTGACATCACTCTCAAGTACACTGAGAGTAACAAAAACTGGAGTCTACGTGTGCTCACTTACTTGGCCAGTAAAGCTGATTCTGATTGATCTGCTAATAAACCTACAGGGACTTAGTGTGAATCAAGCTTATGGTAGTTTTCTGGAGGCACGTCTCCACCATCTGCCTGACACAGTGACATCAAATGGACTATTTTACAGTGTATAATGCGGTTCATGGGACAGATTTTGGCATCGCTTTAGGTTTACTTCCACTGCAGTACCACTAGGGGGCACCAGATAGCCACCAAACACCACAAGCACTTAGAATAACCAATTTTATGCTACACTGTTCTCTTCAAGGTAGATATAATTAAAGAGCAGGAAACAAATTTAAAAGTTGTGTGGCAAAATAAAATGACAGACTAAAAGGCTGCCCATGGTTGGTTTCACTGCTACATTGTTTGCTCGCTCTGGTGCCTTCACCTGATTGGTGACAGGCCAAAACAGCAACACAAAAACATTCCCCTCTGTGTAGCCTCACATCAGCTCCCCCTCCTCCGTGAAAGAGGACTTATCCACCCGTGCTGCAATTCGTCTACAATCTTTAATTTGAAGTCACTCCTACCGGAGCGTGTTCCCTCAGGCAGAATTACGCACTGTAGCCTTCTATTTACATTCACAGTCTATTGAAGCAGCACATCAGTGGATCTCTGTACCAAGGACAGAGCCTGTGAATCACTGTCTGAATGCAGCTTTTCATTTGTTGAAGGTGTTTTTTTTCCTCCTGCGTGGATGAGACCTGGACAAAAAGTTGGCACTCGCAGCAGACTCCTTTGCGTAAAGGACCGCGTGTGAATCATGTATTGCGCAGAATCTCTGCTCACTTGCGATTAATTTACAGGAGAGAGGCGCATCTCCACCTCACAGGATGCGAGTGGCGCGCTGAGTGTGATTGCATGCTTTTGGGCAGGGGGTACCAAACTTGCGTAAAGAGCCCGTCTCTGCACAAGTATTGATCGCTGGTCACAGTTAAGTGATTGATACAATGTCAGCCTTGCGGAGGAAATTTGGCGAGGACTACCAGGTGGTGAACACCAACCGGAGCATGACTTTTTCCGCACCGGCGAAGAGAAAGCGGCAGCGCTTTGTGGAGAAGAACGGCCGCTGCAATGTCCAGCACGGTAACCTTGGCGGGGAGACCAGCCGGTACATCTCGGATCTCTTCACCACGCTGGTGGATCTCAAGTGGCGCTGGAACCTCCTCATCTTCATCCTCACTTACACAGTTGCGTGGCTGGTGATGGCTTCAATGTGGTGGGTGATCGCCTACATCCGCGGCGACCTGAGCCACGGCGGCCACGACTCGTCCTACACCCCGTGCGTCGCCAACGTCTACAACTTTCCCTCCGCGTTCCTGTTTTTCATCGAGACGGAGGCGACCATCGGCTACGGCTACCGCTACATCACGGAGAAGTGCCCGGAGGGGATCATCCTCTTCTTGTTCCAGTCGCTGCTGGGCTCCATCGTGGACGCCTTCCTCATCGGCTGCATGTTCATCAAGATGTCGCAGCCGAAGAAGCGCGCGGAGACGCTGATGTTCAGCCAGGACGCGGTCATTTCGCAGCGGGACGGGAAGTTGTGCCTCATGTTCCGAGTGGGGAACCTGCGGAACAGTCACATGGTGTCCGCGCAGATCAGGTGCAAACTCATCAAGGTGGGTTACAGGTTACACAGTACGCAATGTGTCCAATAAGATCACCACACAAGTAGGCGCACTTTGGCGCAGTGAGGACATGCCTCTTCAAATGTCACCATCAAAGCTCAGGCTAATTGACAGTCACTTAATTTGTTTGGAAATCGCTCATTGTGTTTAAGTGCTTTGCAAGTCATGCGTTGAATTTCTATTCATCTCCAGAATTGATTGCATTCCCTGAGGGTCTCTATGATTTGCAGCGGCTATATGCTCTTAACATGAGGGCTCCAACATAAGATGTATTTTAATGAGTTACCATTCATCCCCTGCAGCAACTACTTCATAGCTGGATTGACCCTGGACACATTATAGTGTTTCTGCTGAGTGTGATGACTGCTACACAGCCTGTAGTAAGTTCAGCCTCTGCTCCCTCTGTCCACAGAGGAGATGAATGAGCCCCAGGGGGACAGTAGGTGGGAAACTAGGCGTATTGACTAAAAGATCAATTGGACCAATTCCTTCACTGAGCACGCCACAATGTGGTAAAGACTTTTTCTTGAGGTCAGTCTCGCCTGAAGACGAAAAAGCCACTAATCTGAGGCATTGAGAGCTATCGATACCTTTGTGTGAAGTGTATTTCAGTGCCGAAGGAATCCTGAGGATGAAAGGAGCCGAGGCAGCTGCTGGCTATGATGAAAGAGACGTTTTAGTGTCAACTTCACAACTGAGGGAGCCTGAAACTGCAGTGCCAATCAATGCAGTTTCTAAATCACACCTGATTTTTTATTTTTTTATTACCAAATGTGTTTCTGAAGTCTCAACAATCATTTTTGTTCTCTGCAGAATTGATGACTAAAAGGTGGACAGCATTTGTTTTCTACCATGCACCTATCACATCACATATAGTCTGATCAGAAGCAGATTTTTTTGTGCTTTATGTGCAAGCATAGGTGTAGATTTAGGGGGGACGCAGGGGACACACACCCCTAAATATTAAGAACATGTGCATTTGTGCCCTCCAATAAAAACATGAAAATAGCAGAGGACTTTTAACGAAATTAAAGACATTTTCACCATATATTGCTCCAGAAAAGGTGCAAAAAAATTCACCGAAATGAGGGAAATTAAGTGTTTGCGTCCCCCCAGTGATAAAACAAAACGCCGATGTGTGAAAGCCCCACATTTTCTCACTCTGCATGAACATCCTATACATGAATTCCACTCCAAACATCAGCAGATATCTAAAGGACAGCGGTGCTTTGTTGTGACAGGGAGAGTTAGTTGTGCTTTAGTCGTCTCCACTGAGTAGCGTGATGATCCAAAGTGACAGTTTACTTTCTGAACCTCGAGGGAGACTCACCAGAAAGCTCCCGGCATGTTAATATGGTCAGAACGCTTTGTGTTGCCGCTGAGATTGTATCCGGGCATATGATATCATTAAAAGTAATGTTTTCTGCTCAGCCGTTTTTCATTTGATTAGGGTGAAAATATCCATTAGAGAAATAAAAGTCACCCAGTTTCACACATTAAAAGCCGCAACTCAATAACTTATTATCGCTAATGTTCCAGCCTTCTCTGGAATGCGCTTTATTTCATTTCATTATCATTTGCCCTTTAATTAACGGCCTAGAGAGGCAAAGAAAAATATGCTGTGTTAATTGCAATTAATCAACACAGCATCATAACGGCACAAATGCTATATCATCAAGTTTTCTCCCTCCACAGAGGCCGATAGTCACATTGGGAGAGTTTAATATTCTGTAACAGTCTCCTTTAATGCTTTCAATGGGTTATTTCAAATAGAATGAAAGCAGAAGCATATTCACCCATGGGGCATGCTGTCATGTTTGACCTTGCTCAGATTTGTCCGTGTTCCAATGGTACAGACATCGCTTTAGTAGAGTTAACCCTTTTTATGATACATGGAGCCACTAGTGATTTATTATTAAATAAAACTTGTCGGGATAATTTAGATCAGGGCTGGGCAGTACATTTATATTAAATCAATATCATGGTATAAGGCTTGCAACATGATCTCATCCCTACTTGTCATATTTAGCCGCTTGGGCAGAAGCCACGGGCGTTAGTGAAATGACGCCGGGGGCAACCTTTTGAGCTGTATGAAGGGTGAGCAGTAAGAAGGGGTTGGCAGTTAGGTTAAGGCGAGAAAACTACTTGGTTACGGTTAGAAAAAGACTGTGGATGTTGCCACAAAAAAAAAAAAAAAAGAAACTTCACCAGCTTCAAGTGCTACAAACGCAGCTCTAAGAAGAGGTCGACGGTTAGGTTTAGGCAACAAAACTACTTGGCTATGGTTAGGAAAAGATCATGGATGTCGCCAAAAAATACCTGGCTTTGAGTGCCACAACACAGTGGTGAGATGGGGTCGGAGGTCAGGTTTAGGCAACAAAAGTACTTGGTTATGGTTCAAAAAGATTGTGGATGTTGCCAAAAAACCTCCAGCCTTGAGTGGCCCAATGCCACAACTGGTGTTGGTCTTGAACACTGCTCTCCTGGGTTAAAGTCCCAACCTGGACTCACTCCGAGGTCGCCATAATGCGGCGCTTGGGCAGCGACAGATACTGACAAAAAAAGCTGTCCTTTAGCGTTGGCATGATACGCAGCTGGTCTCTGTTATAGTTTAACAGCGCTCTGCAGTGTCAGGGGCAAACATGGCAAGACAAGAACCAAAGTTAAGGCGGGGAAAGTTCCAGTAGGGAGAGTGATGTTGGTGTAAATTTCTAAAGCCAAACCCGTCTCATTTTTCCTAAACCTAACCAGGTGTGTTAGTTGTTGGAGGAAAATGTCAACTTGCGTTGTTGTACTGACGTAGTGCTTTTATTTTGAAAGAGACTGTATGTAAACCGTAAATTTCTCGTGAAAACAGAAGTGTATTTTAAAAGAGGATAATGCATGTAACAGGCATAAGTGGACACAGCCTTCCAGAACGTCAACAACAGATGCACCCAGGATACCTTTCATGTCATATCTGGACGTGGAAGGTCATAACTAAACGTCCATATGTGACGAGGTTGGAGTGAGAATTGAAAAAGTTGAAAGTCCAATACTCTGTGTGTCATGACACAGATGCATTTACATTGGTGTTGCCATACAGCCCGGTGCATCTCACACAGACGCTAATTGGCGCCCCTAATGTCATTATGCTGTAGTATCACCAGGGACACTGCCCATGTGGTGTATTTTGATAATCTGGGAGTGAGACCAGGCTTACTGTCTTAGATTCTGAATTCTGGTAATACTGGAGTTTGTCTTTTCCTGGTTTGAAGGCTGCATTACAGTAAAATGATGTAACTTTATGAACTTATCAGACTGTTCTATTATTTATCTTTACCCATGTAGTCCTTATATCCACATTACTGATGATTATTCATTGGAAATCTTATGGTGTAAATTTGTGAAACCCTACAATATCATCCCAACATTGATACCGAGGCAATAAATAACATGATTTTTGCTTTGCTCCATATCATCCAGCCCTAATTTAGATTCTAACCTTTATTTGACGTTTTAAGGCCCAGAGGAAAAGTGAAAAACTTGTAGTGTGAGCAGGTCAGATTCACAACATGAGAAGCAGTACAAGCTGCTGCAGTGCTGTTACAGAGTAGATACATCACCAGCACTTTGGCTACACTGCACCTTACTCAATCTTGCCTTTACCTCTGAGGTGTTTTTTTTTCCAAAGTAAATGAACCTGCCTGAACCTAATATAATTACTGCAAAAAGGGAACGCTTGTTGTTTGAAGTGTTCTCAACCATCTATTTTGCTGAATTTTTTAGTTCAGTAGACCTTGGCTTTCTTTCAAAGATCAGTTCATTAGATTTATGTGACGATCCTGATCTGGGATTTCGGCCAGTAAATGATGATCTTTCATTAAACCATCTTTTAAGCCACAGTTATTTGTGTGTTGGTGGAAGGTCAGACATCCAGGACTTCGCTAATTATCTGCTAAAAGGCGTCACGTTGATGTGCCATTAATCCTACCCTGAGGACAAACGGCTAAGAATCAAAACGTGCTCTCTAAGGCCACTTTCATAAAGGAATGTTTTCATGGGTTTACTTGAACAGTTTTTTTTTATTCAAGATCAAATATGTTGCAGGACACCACTGTAGCCTTGCTGCTGAACAGATGCAGTATTCTTATGTGTCTTTAAAGCACACAGTGATGTTTTAGAGCCCATAAAGCGATGTCATTGTAGCACCAGACTGCACAGTGAGACATTGTAGAGTAAACTGACTACATCACCCCGTAGTACTATACCTCACTGTAGAAACAATGCTGCGGCATGTGTTCAGGTAATGCACAGCTCAAGGTCACTGTCAGATGGGTTGCCCACAAAACTGACAGGAGAAATGAGACATGCAGTAAATCCTAATGACGGAGCTGTGTAAACGCATGGTGGCATGGCAACTGCAATCAATTCCCAGGGCGAGGCACAGGTTGTAAATTCTTATTGGACTTGGATACCTGAATAAAGTTGGTGACATTCTGCCCTTGTGTTATTTACAGTGCCACGTACTTGGTATGCAGCAGTGCATCTGTAACTTTTTAATGTTTGTTAAAACAGCAAACCTGTCGGGAGACCTCGTTTGCTTAAAATAAATGGTGTGTTTGTAACAGTTACTCACAGAAGCACATTATGGTGAAGCATATTTTGGTGCAGTATTTGAACTCCCTTCAACTTTTTCGTTCACACTTTTTCATAATGATTCAGGAAGTGGTGATAGAAGACTTTTATCTCACATTAGCAGTTTGTTTCCATCAGCTATCTACGTAAGTGTCAGCCTTGATATCGCCAAGTTTTAATGAAATACTTTGGAAGAACTAAAAAATCCTGCAGAATGTTGAGCACTTAATTCATCACCTTCCAGCAGCCATATAGGTGGTGGTGCTGCTGGTGTAGTCTGATTGGTGGTTGGCTGTTTGCCTCCATGAATTTTACCAGTTGAACGTTTGAGAAATGAATAGAGTTGTGAGGTGGTTCTGGAAATATTTTTCTGT